TATATATATATATATATATATATATATATATATATATATATATATATATATATATATAAAATCTCCAAAAAGAAATTAAAATGTTATTCCAAGTTGTTTTTATAAAACTTGTATTTCAAATCTCTAACACCATAGAGGACCCTATATGTCCCAGAGATTTGTCAAGTACCTATGATTCAAGAGGTGATATTCAAAATATTAACTGTCACAGCCCAGGTACTGATGTCTCAGAATGAACACTGGCTGTCAATAATGCATTTGGCCATCCTTGTGCAAACTGGGTGACTGGCAGCCACCCTCTGCCACTCTCAGACCTCAACCTGGACCTGCTACTATGGCTCTCTCCTCTCTCCTCTACCTACCATGAATTCCTTCAGTTCCCATCCTGGCCAGCCTCTCCTATCACCCTCCTCCCCTCCACCTTTGCTACAGATTCTCTTTCACTGCCTGAGAAGCAGTCAGACAATGTAGAATCCTCTTCGGAGGGATCAGAAGAGAGAGTAAATGAGTAAATCCAGAAGCTTTTACTGAGCAGAATGAAATGATGAAATAGGTACCCAGAATAATACAATTTTTATCTTGCCACATACAGAAATGGGACTGGACAGAAATGAAGAGAGGGCATGACACTCAAGATCATACTTTACTACAGAGCTCAGTGTATATTAAACATGGACAACCTCAGACCTTGTTTCTGGAAGGGATACATGGCAGGAGACATAAAACAAGAAGAAAAGCTCTTACCTCCATCACTAGTGTGCTCCACAATTGCTTACCAGAATTGACACTCTGCCGTAGTTAGTCCAGCATCATATACCATTCATCAGAAAATCAGAAAAAGATGACTAAAACTAATTTTTTTACTCTCGTGTGATGGCCATAAGCTTTGGATTCACTAAGTCATTTTTTATTTAGGAAACTTTGTTTCTATTAGGAAAGTTTACAAAGACAATCAAGGAATGAACTTTCACCTTCTGGATAGTAAAGGGCATTGGAGAAAGACAAATATATAGGGTATTTTGTCTGTTTAATATGTAACATTAAAGAAACTAAAACTTAGCATAAAATAAAGCCCAACCATGAGGTTGTGCTTGCTGGTTCCCATCTAAATGTTTTCAGCTCAAGTAGCAGAAATCCCAACTAAAAGTGGCTTAAACCATAAGGCCAATTCCCTAAGATGATCCAGACTTGGATGGGCAGCTTGCTGGTCTCAATAATTCAGGACCTTTCCATGTTTTTGCCCTGCCATCCTTGGAGTGTTCAGTCAGTATTATCCCTTGGTAGCAAAGCTGTACCAATTTCAAATGCCACATGCAAACGTGACCAAATCTAGACAAAGATAGATAGATCTTTCCTTCCCTTTACTTCACTTTTCAAAGGAAAGAAAATTTCTCCCAGAAGACCCTTAGCAAACATCTCTTCCTATTATCCTAGATTACCACCCCAGCCACAAAAGAGATAGCAAAAATGAAATCTGCCACCTTTCACCTTTGTAGTCCAAGGGCAGTTCTGCCAGCTGGTGGAAGGGGAAGCTTCTGCCAACAAGGTGGAAGGGGAAGCTTCAGGGGAAGTAAAGTGGGTAGGCAATCTCATCCTACAACTGATTTACCCCAAATCCTGACCTAGGAGATGAAGCCAGGAAGTTTAAGGTCAGGAAGCACAGGACATATTTACAAGCTCACATTTCTCATCCCTCACTCCTCTCTCCCTCTACCCATAGCCAATAGTCCAGTTCCTCCTCCCTACATCTGTCTGTCCTCCCTGGAACAAACTCTAGAAGTTGCTTAGATCTGAAGGCAACCACTGGCATCAGACATTACCCAAGAAATTGTTCATTTGAGGCAAGATATGGAAAATGAAAAGGACAAAGAGAAGAGAGAGAAGGAAAAAAGAAGTACAAGGACAGGAAGAGGGGAGGCATGAAAAGAGAACAGCAAGACAAATTAAAGAAAGGGGCAAGTGGAAGGTAGCCAGGCCCGGACTGTATCTTCTTAGGGTAGTACTTGCCCATCTTGGTCTTTAAACCTTCTCAACTTGTTGCAAAGTGTTCAAATCAAAACACATAAAAGACTCAGACTTAGATCCCAATAGAAAAGTCCATTGGTCATACATCATCGTGTTCTAGACTTCCCATGATTCCACACATGATATCTGGAGTCCCAGGATCTAATTTAAAGGATGAGCAATAAGAAAGTATTTCTGAAGGTCTTTGAAGCCTCCTCATTTCAGACATCAGAAAAGGTAGGGAAACCACAATCCTTTTTATGACCCATGGTCTTCCTAATATTCTGTTCTCTCCAATTGCATTACCCACAGCCCCTGGGCCCTCCTCTTGGATAGATAGGCTTAAAAAAAAAAAATGTACTAAATCTCTAAATTTTA